AATTGACGTGGTTTTTTTATTTTCTTTCATAATATTAGATTTCTGACGGTCTTGAGGATTTATGATGCGCACAACAGTAGTCACTTTACAATTTGCACGATGCCGCCCCACAACAAGCGCAAGAAACACGCCAAGAACTTCAACCGCAAGGTAGATGGCTCCTTCTATCAGCTGAAGAAAAACACCAACCTCCCACTTAAACAACCCAACAACGAAGAAATAAGAACAAGTAACATGGAAGTCCAGCGAGGCACGGGTCTTTTTAGTGGCAACCGAGCTCGACGAGGACGTAGTGAGGAGGTCTACGAAATTGAGAGGCTGTACGCGAAGCGATGGGTTCATAACTTAGAATTCTATCTAGTCCAATGGATTGACTACAGAGAACTAACATGGGAACCAGCGAAAAATTTACCCTGGAAGATGAAGATCGACTTTGAACTGGAGACAATCGACTTCGTGTGGCTGTACCAGCCAACAAGAGGCAGACGGCGCCCCAAGCAGCCTATGCGACGCAGTCAACGAGTAGTACAGCGAGTCTAGATATTTTCTAAATCGCAATGTAACACCATAATTTCAAAATAGTAAGTTCGCATACCGCACTTAGTATGTACTGTTAACAGTACAATTAATTATGTGTCGATCTTTCCAAAATCCAGTACCTTAGTACTGGATTATGGAAATTCCTCAATCAAATTGATATTCAGAAGGATAGCCCCATGTACTAATATCGCGGAAAACAGTGGAGAACCATGTTTACTAGTGTCATGTAAACGCCGTAGTCCACGGCGTCAGTGCGATGAGTGTAAAAAGTTCCTCTCCTATATAAATTATTTGAAAACTTTACACTTTTACTCGGTAACAAGAAATCTAACCACTAAATTCAAACATGTGGAGATTCGTGAATATCTGATGAGGGAATCTTACATAGATTAGTATAACGGTGGGGTGTCATCTCTATATCTCCTGCTGTCGCACCTTTTCTTTTCTTGATTTGGTGGTTTTTACGGTGTCTTAGTACATAGGACTGAGGCGTGGTTTACGGTAACAAACCATGTAATCGATGCTTCCCTTCAAAAAGCCAGTACTAGGTATGTTCTAGATAAGGTGCACTGGACCAGCGACTCTAAGCTTCTTAATTTACCATATGATACACATCTACTTTGGAGAAATTAAGATTATCTTTGAAGATTTAAATGGATAGGCCTATGTTTTCGCAGAAAGCAGTGGGAAATGTTTATCATAAAGATAAGCTGAAGGTTCGTGCATTCGATACTTCCAGTCCCATTCTTCAATTCACCTGACAGGGCTCAGTAGCCTTCTCCTCCAAACACTAAAGCCGAATCCGACCGAACCATGCGCCTTAGCTACATCGTCGCTGTAGTGGTTGCGGCAACACTACACACGAGCGCTTGTGCTCTCCCCACGATCAAGGAGTCCACCCAGGCCACGCTCGCTAATGTGGCATCACCTGGCCTCGGCGATGCGAACGGTGGACGGCTTTTGCGTGGCGTCAAGCAGCGTGCCGCAGATAAAGAAGTGCAAGAAGAGAGATCTTTTCGCGCGAGTCTCGGCGAAAAAGGGAAAAAGCTCTGGAATTGGTTTATCCATGGCAGCGACACACGCGTTAAAGGCAGAAGCTGGAGATAACCGTCTGGACACAAGGCGAATCAGCGAGGCTGATCTTACAGTTCACATTTCACATGAAAATGAAGACAATTTGTCCATCCCGATTGCATCATACGTCTTGACTCCTCCACAACCAGAGCTGCTAGTCTTACTACGTAATTGGTATTGCTGTCCATGCTTCACTTTGCGCAGACAAATATGCTCCCATGTTATCGACATACGCGAAAACCAGTGGAAAATGACCACGTGTGCGCACAGAATGAAGGTATTGAAAACGGAGGCGATTTCACCATTCCGTCACTTTGGGCAAAACATGTTTAACTATTCGTAAACGTAGCGCATCATTTTTATTTTAACTTGTACTGTACTTATAACTATTTCAAGTTATAAAACTATAAAAAATGCACTTGCACTACTAATAGTAAGTTATTTTGTGCCTTCAGCTATCGAGCACCAGTACTTTGTTGTCTTGAGTGATTGCATGATGTTGGGTCACGATGAATGTACTTGGTGACTCCCTTCTTCAGTACATACTGCCAATTAATCGATCACTCATCGCCTATAACTCATCGGGTCCGATCTGTGAGACTTCATAGGACAGACATCATACATTACTTGGCTCAGCAATGCCATCATACAAGTTTTCTATGCTGCCCAGTGAAAAATGACAAAAAGAAGGCCTAACCTATCACCACCAACGTCACTTAGCAGTGTCGAAAACGAACAGATCTCCCCCACCACAAAAAAGATAATGATAATAATGTCCAAGACTGTCCTAAATGTTCTTAAAGAATCGTAATTTACGCGTCTGTATCCATCAGTAGCGGACATTGCTTAGGACTTGTAGAACACAGTCTCGAAGAAGCCCTATTGTAATTGATCCATTAGGAGGAAAATGTCTTTTTTTTTGGAACCTCTTCATAACTTATAAGATACAATAATTTTAATATACAACAGTGGCTCCAGCACAGAACATGAACAAGCAACTGCAACCGCATGATATCGAATCTGATAATCCTGGAAGTGCGTACAGCTCCATAAGGATTAATTCGCAAGTTTGACTTATGTGGCTCGCACCATTCAATCCATACAAAATTCAAGCGTTGCACGTTAATAATATTATTTTATGTACCGTTCCTTTTCATTACCAGTCCTCCGAGCAAAAGTTAACGCGAAGTTTCCCAGCATACTCTGGCGGGTACACAGGCGACGTTGGTGCTTGTGCAGCCACCCAGCAATAACGCCCCAACACGTCGACTCCGTCCATCTCAAGTTTCAATACAAAATTTCCCAAAATTTCACCATCCAACTTCGAAAATTCTTCTTCCTAAGCATTTGTTTTTATTTTTAGTATTTAGGACTCCAATAATCAAAATTACTCACATTTTTCTTGATATTTCAAATCAAGCGCCAAAAATGCCCAGCACACCAACCAGGAAGCGCCACCGTCCGCGGTCCCGTGACTCGCTCGAAGACGAGGATGACGACCACGCGCTGGACGCGATGCTTCTGGAGCTGGGCATCCCACGCAGCGGATCCAGCAACAGCCGCAACGTCCCCAATAGAAGCGGCTCGCCCACGGTCGAAATCATCGAGCTCACTACACCGTCGCCCCCAGTAAAAAAGAA